TTGGGGGGGGGTAACTTTGCGATGGAGCCATCTAGCGGAGGGGTGGGTAGTAATGTATACTCCTAGGGATAACCGGAATAAGTTCCATCTGGGTGGGCCGATAGGCTTCAGTAGAGACTTAAGCTGTATGTTTTGACGATAGCTAACGCTTCATAGCTGACGCCAAAACCAAATGCACTGGCCCTCCAGTGATATGTGCAAAGTACCGACGGATCAGAACAGACCAATCACGACTGACTTATGCCACTTGAGTTTTACAGCCAAAAACATCACCGTAAAACTGACCAATCATTTTATACGAACTGGACTTAGAACATTCGACCAACACAACTATTCACCTGATTCCGATGATGACTTCTGTGCAGGTTTTGTCGAAACGTCAATCGGCTAACAGCGACAACAGTCCTTCTCAGGACTACGCGCACCTGGACGATCACACTGCACTTTCACATGTTACCCTGGGTTCAAACAAATTACTGTAGAATGATTAATTAGTCCACAGAATCTTGTGCAAACTACGCGTCCGAAAATTCTCTACAATTTCCTGCGGGACGATCCCTAAAGATCAGTGAAGTAGTCGTTGTAGTGATCTTGAAAGGTAACGGCTGTGATGCCGAGAAATCCATTTACATTTACGCCACGCCTTTTGAAAAATACGAGTGTCATTGCGATAATTGTTTGGTCAGTAATCTTTAGGCTTCTTTCAGGTCCTTGACTCCACTTCTCCTGAACTTATCAGAGAGGTTTTGGAATTCTATGAAATGGTTTTATCTCAATAGGCTCACATTGTTAATGCGCAAGAAATACAGCGGATAACTGTCAAGAAGTGATTTCTAAAAGTCGGTAAAAGCTTTTTAAACACCTCAATCTGTAAGATGTTCTTCACGGGTCATTTCTCCCGACCTTTGCGGGGAAAATTCTGCCCAACTGGAGTTGCCATCTTTTGAATGAGACATCAAATGCTTTAAAGCAAACGACTATGAATACCGCAGGAACTCGAAGAAAAGAATAATTTAATTATCCAGTGAACACAACTCTCTACAATCACCAGCAAATAAGATAAAATTCCAGTGTCCTCCCCCTCAAATGAAACCAGACATTTTATTTACTTGTCTTCTAATCAGATCCCTTCATCCTGTGAGAATTAAATTACAGCGCACGATATATTTTGATCAATTGAAAACTGTCGGGATCGCAATTAACGGGAGAAATCTGTAATATTCCTTCGAAGCCGCATCGTTGTGAATCGACAAGAAGGGATCTTCTGTCTTTTAGAAGGGGGGAAAAACAAGTCCTAGCAAAAACCTAGACCACAAACAGGTCAGTATATCTCTTGCATTATTTTTAGCTTAAGCTGTATACTTGTTTAAAGAGTTTTCGTGCGGATGTTCTGCGTTTCTGTCTTCATATTGAGTGTCTCATGTCGAACAACTTTGATCTAATGACGTTACAGTTCTAACGACGTTGTAGACTAAAACTAAATGTTTACAAATAAACTGTTACATCTAAAACATGGAAAAATCTTGTTAAGGTCAGGGGGGAGTGAACACAATGCGGGATATGTGATGTCGCTTCTACGAGGACGAGTTGAAGAAAAACGTTGAATTGCGATAAGGTTGCTTGCAGGCAAGCTTTTGAAGTACAATGGATAGAAAATTTCATTGAATGAGTTGTACCTCTCTAAGTAATCTTTTCATTAAACGATTAAATTAGCTTTATTTGAATTGAGCGATCCAAGTTATAAACAATAGTTGTTTGATTACATCCCTGTCGGGTTATAACCGCTTGGTTCGTTCTCCCCCCCCCCCCCTTCCATCTCGCGGTCCTTCTTGATTATTTTCTTTTCGTCCCAAGGAAGACTCTACTTGTCGATCACAAGCACTACAACATTATGGCTTCGCCTCCATAGGAGGCACTGGCCATGACAAAGGATGAGAAACTCTTTGGCATATACATCATTGTTCCAACACACAATTAATGTATTTGATTAACAACTTTATTAATAATTTTCCTCGAACAGAAATTTCGATCAGAGTTTTGCAACGTGTCACTGCCTCTTTTAATTGGTTTAGGAATTTAAAAACCTTAAAAATGCCCGTAAGCGGGTGTAATTTCCGGATTTCAAGATCTTGAGCTAAATATTTTAGATTCTGCTTACTTGCTGGCGATAACGACTTAAAAGCTATTGATATTGATTTAACTTCGTTGTATTTTTGAGGATTCAGAAGTTCTTGTTCTCTATCTCGTCACAAATAATATTAGGTAGAGAATTAAAATAGAGGTTTTCTTTTTTCAAATTAGTGCGGATTAGCAATCCGACTATTGGAATTAAAGCAAGCAATGAATTCTAACTTAGTTTGGTTAAGTTGATGTGTGCATCGAAACCAATTTCGCCTTTGTCGGCATTAGCGTGTTCCTCCAAATTTTGTCTTTGTGCGCGAATGAAAAGAATCCCTGTCTTTCCTGATATCGGGGCAGTCGACAAAAATTTGATCAAGTTTCTCTGTGTTATTTCAAGATTTGGGAATCAACATGATTGCTCTTGTTCGTCTCAAGGTACATGAAGACTTTTTCTTGTTCCTCACAGCCAAAGCGCCTATGAAAGGAACATTATT